CTAAAAATTTAACCAAATAAAGTTCATTTAGTATACTATAATATGAATCAAAAATCTCATTTTTTGTTAAAAGTCTCTGAAATCCATTTTTAATAGCAAAGCTCCCATATCATTATGCTTCTCCTATTCCTGAGTGTCTATGTTGTATATAGTTCTGCATAGTAAACTTTACCATATAGATACTGTATTTCTCTTCCATCTTTCATGAATGTGTTTGATAGTTCAAACTTTAATTGTCTTCTTTCGTCTTTTATAATCTGCAGCTTCAAATTCGACACTATCATGCATTTTATCCAAAAGTTCAGGATCATTTATCAAGAATGATGGCTGATTCAGTGCATCATACATTTCGACAATATTTTCTTTATCCAATTTTTCTCATTTTTTATTTCGAGCTTGTTGTTGAGCTTTTGCATTACCCTTCAACTTCTTAAGCTTTTTTTCTTCTAATGTAACCATCTTCTCAAGTTTTTTAATTTTTGATGTAAATTGTGAATGAAGTTCAAGTGATGTGGCTGCTCTTAACAACTTATTGTATTTATATAAATCAGCCTTGTTTTTTTGAAGATTAGTACATAATTGCTTTTGTACTATTGCATTTGATAAAAGGTTATTAAAAAGTATGGGTTCTAGGGATTTTAGAGGTTCTGAAGGTTCTGGAGGTTCTGAGGGTTCTAAAGGTTCTGAAGATTCTGAAGGTTCTGTAGGATGTTTTGAAGAGTTTTTTACAGATTTATGTTGTGAAAAAAAGTTAAAAAATAAGGTTGAACAGGCGTTTGTAGAAATTCAAAAATATAATTTTGAATAAAGTCTTTGTTTCTCATTTTCACTTTTTACCAGTTACTCTGAGCTCGTTCCTGAAGCTCTTTTTTGTTCGACTTTTCATTATGAATATTTACCATTTCGCAGAATGCAAAGGCATTTATATACTATTCATAAAGATTTCTGGACTTTTGAATAATATAATTTTTGGAATACTTTAGTTCCTTAAAATATGCTTGTTTCATTGTAACAATCTAATGAAAGAAAAAAACAATCGCGTAATTATCAAAAATTGTATTTACGTAAAATTTTTTTTTAATTCTTTCTCTTGGAAAAATATTCATTTAAAATCCTCCCTTATCAAACTATCATAAAACGCATGTATTTGTATCAAAAATATCACTATTTTAACTCTTAAAATTTTGATATGTACTATTATTTTAACGCTGATTTATCTAAATTTTTTGTATCACGTCATTTTGTTGCAAGACTCCCCAAAAAATGGTAAATTTTATTGTGTCATATTAGGATCCCAAAAAATGTAAAATCGATTTTGTGTAATGTCATTATGGGCTGATCCCCTACCCCCTTATTAAATGACACCTCCTCTTACTATATTAATTTATTTTCTTATTTATTTACTTATTTAATTTATTACATTTTCTTATTGCTACGTTTTGTTATTTCTTTATTTTATATTTTAAATCGTATAATTTATAATTAGTTAACTTTATTTAATAGAAATTAACTGTATATACAATAGCGGTTATAAGTATCCGACCACCTGAGATCGTCCAAAATTACTATATAACTACCCCTTAAATTTTCCAGAAATATAATGTAATACAATACATGATCTAAGGTTAGAGGTTGTATAATGTTACAATACCAAGATTCATCTATACCTTCAATTGGGACAAATTGCTCGATCCATTGGCCTGTAATTAGTGCAACAGGTAATGAAAGAACAGCAAAATTTTGGAAATGATGATTGACATGTTCCTTAATGAGTTTTGGGTCATTGATCACCTGTAAATTTATAAGTGTCAATGATACAAAAAAAAAATTTAGATGATCATCAAACTTTCGCTTGAAAAATGGAACTTTCTTTAGAGAAATGACATGAAATTATCTTTTTACATGAGCATCCAGCTGGTCCAAAGTTTAGTTTTGGATTTATTGCTAAGCAGGTACGTTATAGTAAGTCTACAGTTATTTATTGGGTTAAAAGATATCATGAAAATCGAGACCTAAGTATTTCAGAAAGATCGGGGCAGCCTTGTGTAATATCAGCGAAACAAGATGACAAGATTGTAAAGATGGCAGAGAAAAAACATAATATAACAACCATTCAAATACAAGAAAAAATGGAAGAAAGAGGTGTTAGGATTAGTGTAGAAACAGTAAGGCGACGTTTTCGTAAGTCTGGAGGAAAGTTTAGTAATGAAATTTCTAAACCTTTGCTTAAAGAAGACCATCGAAAGAAAAGGTTGCAATGGGCAAAAAAACATAAGAATTTTGATTGGAATCGAGTTGTTTTTACAGATGAGAGTACATTTCAATTGTATACATCAAAAAAAAGGTTTGACAATTTCCTGGTAGAAAAAAAGTGTTTCATTCTATTAAGCATCCACCAAAAGTTCATGTTTGGGGATGTTTTTCTGCTTCTGGATTTGGTAAGCTATTTTGCTTTCAGAGAAATCTTAATGCTGAATTTATGTGTACTATTTATGAGCAGGGTCTTCTGGCTTCCACCTCTAAACTTTTTGGTGAAAGTAACATAGATTGGATCTTGCAAAAAGATAATGATCCAAAACATCAATCGAAAATCGTGAAAAAATAGAAGGAAGAAAATGACATTGAGGTACTTTCTTGGCCATCAATGTCTCCAGACCAAAACCCTATAGAAAACGTTTGGAGTTAATGAAAATTAATATACAAAAAAAAAAATTCAATCAATTAGAGGGTTAAAGGGGGAATTTACAAAAGAATGGAACTGATTATCACTTGTACTTACTGCGAATTTGGTAGCTAGCATGAAAAGGCGTACAGCTGCACTTATAGAGTCAGATGGTGACTACACAATATATTAATTTTAGTTAGTTGGTTATGTATTTTTTAAATAAAAAAAAAATTTTGAATTTACTTACTTGTAGACGGAGTTAGAGGCGATCAGATACTTATGACCCTACTGTATACTTTAGTTTTTAAATTGATTATTTTTTTTAAACTAATTTGATCTTCTTTAACTTTGTAAAATTCTACAATCACTATTTTCCAATTTCATATAGATTAGGTTATAATTTTTCTTAAAAGTAATTATTATAAAGTTATATCTTATTATTAACAAATACCTACTTTAAAAAAAATTGATTTTGTATTAACTAGCATTATATTTAATGCTTAATCATCAACTATTATTTTTGATTCTTTTTTATTCTCATTCATCATCAGTTCTGATATTTCTTTAGCAATCAATCTTGTAAATCTTTATATATTTCCATAAACTCCAGAAACTGATTTCCAAATACAATTCAAATTCTTGTTATTAAGTCTCTTAAAACTCTTGAGAAAAGCTCATTAATTTGTAAAAATGACTTTACAGTTATCACTATAAAGAATTTTTAATAGCTTTCTTTAATTCTTTTTCAAAATCTTCTAATGTAAACTCTTCTGTAGGTGTTTTATTGATAGGAAAACCTGATTCAATAGCAGAACTGAATTTATACTACTCTTCTGCAAGTGATGTTAGTAAGTCAGATAACTCATTACACCTATGAACCAATATGATAAAATGGCTTATTGTGATATCTACATCATCTATTTTGCCAATTTTAGCATTTATGATAACAGATACTTTTTTTAGATCAATTAATTTATTTCAAGTGATAATCATATTCTTTCTTTTTTAGGATGGCTAATCTATAATTTACATTAAGTTGAATGTCAATTGTCTTGGATAATATTTCATTTGATACCAAGAGACACCTGAAGTAAATTTCATTAATGGTCATTTGATGAATTCCAATTAAATCCACCAATCTGTATGTAATCAAATGCAGAATTTTAAAAAAGATTCTTCATCTAGTCAGATAAATGAATCTAAGACGAAATTATCAAAGAACCTAACTCAAGTATGAGACAAGAGATATAATTAATATAAGAGGGTTTTAGCTTTATATTTAATGTAATTAATCTTTTCTAAAAAAATAAACCCCTGATCCTTTATGGTACTATCATCCAGAGCAGCGTTCTTGGTGATCATCTTTTGAGTGTGAATTCAAAATATAAGCATCAATATGATTTTTTTACGTTTTTCATCTGTAATTTCTTTTGGATCTTTTTTCCCTCCAACACAATCTAACCATCTATTGATTGAATACTTTATCTTTACCCAATTAACAAAAAATCTCAAAATTTCTTTGGCTTGTTTTGCTGAAGCAAAAGGTCTCTTCATTTTCAAAAGCTCTAATCCATAATAACTGCAATTCCTCTAACGACACCAACCAAGATACGATACAATGGATTATTACGCAAATTGGATAGTTGAGTTCATTGAAAATTTTCATTTTATGACCTATTATAGAATCCATAAAATCAAGAGAATTTTCTATATCCATAGGTGTCATATATACATCATAAACATTGTAATCAGTCACGCTAAGATGTCCTGGATTATCAAATTTTTGGAGCTTTATTCTGTGCAAATAGGTACTATTAAAATTTTCATATTATAGACTTGTTGATTTGCCAAAAGTTTAGAGATGAAGCGCAAAATATTAGCTATTAAACATTCTTTTTGTTGATATTCATTCAGTTGCAAAAGTCTTAAAAAGTTTCTTGGATATGTGATAGGATTGTCTAATTGTTTGCAAAACTGTTACTAAATCAAAAGCAGAACTTTTCGCCAATTCTTTGAAAGATTCTGGGCTTGTAGTGTAGTTTTTTTTATAAAAAAAGTCCAATTGCTAATGTCAAATAACTATTAACAAGATTTACGTGTGATGAATCACAAGGATAACATCTTGTAGATGGGTTACATAGAGGACGTTTATCAAAATGAACGAGGGAAGATTCTGGAAAAATCTGAACAAATATATGAATAACTTCAAAACTACCATCCTGAATTTGTTTAAGGTCTTTAATTATATTAATCGTCTCAAATCCATGTCGCATTTTTCCAATACTAGAACCACTTGAGATACTGATTCCATGATAATCATTTAGACAACAACTTTCATTCTCAAAGGCTTCTAAATTAGTTTCTATTATGTATCGAATGAACTGATGTATACGCGTTTTTTCGATGTATTTATACATAGTTATAACAGGTTTGTCTATATTTCCCATTATATGACTAGCTTCGATAATTCTTTTTATAGTAAGGGGATCTTCTTCTTAGAATAAATAGTGGTAGTTAAAATATAGGACTACGGATAATACACTAGTTAAGATACTGTACCTTATGTAATGATTCTCGATTTTTTGTTACTGAAAATCTCTTGTTCAAGAGGTAAAACATTTGGAGATACTTACCAATGGTGGCGGGGATGATGGTGGATATTCTCCACAAATTCATCATTCTTCATCATCTTGATTATCAGCTCAATTCAATTCATCTTCAAAATATTTTCTAAACAGCTTAATAAGTTCTATTTCTTTCCCTTAAGTATATTTTTAATGTCATCTTCGGTAGAAACATTTTGTCCTTTAATATCACTCATCTTGACATTATTTGTTTTCCAAAGTTTTATATCGTCGAAATTGGCAACATTTTCATTTCACAATTAAGATTCCTGAGGAATGCAATTGTGAAAAAGTTTTAAAGAGAAGTTATATTGTCTAAGCTTGAAGAACTTTCTTTTATTGTCTTTATTGTCTTGAAAAATAGTAATCATAACTATACTTTTGGTGCTTAGAACTAATGCTAATAAAAACGACAAAATAAGAAAGTTAAAAGTTAAAAGAAGTTGATGTAATACGTAAAAAAAAGTAATTTATCAGTACTCGGTCCTGGGACCGCAAGTCCTATTATAAAAAATTATTATAGAATACTGGAAAATTTAAATAAACATCCACAAATAATAAATTAAATACATTATACATTGATCTAATTGTTTTTCAAATTATTATCCGTTCGAAGTTCAGCTGCTGTTCTCTATTTTCTTGCTTCTACAATTTATTTTATATCTTCATCTTTATCCGGATATGCTGTTTTGAAATTTTCACACATATAAATGTTTGCCAATACCAGGGATTGTATTTGATATATTTATTTTTCATGCTTCTATTCTGCCTAAGTCTAGCCTTTTACTGTTTTTACAATTCCGGCATACTGCTAAATATTACTTTTGCTAACCATAACATCTTTTTTTATATGAATAAACTTAAAAAACAGTGGGAAGAGATTTTCCAACATTTGGTTTAAAGTTAAAAAAAAGGTTTCTTTTGGTTAATCTATGATCGAAAAGTCCAACAACCGCCAAAGTTTTTGCAGAGTCACCTTTGGTAAGAATTAAAGTACAGTCCTTAACATTTATACCACCAGACTTGTTTGCATCTTCCAATTTCATGATCCAGAGATCCTATTAAAAAATATCAGAATCTGTATAGCATATAAATGTTATTAAGTGTAATTGTGATAAAGGTGGCAACTCTTCAGAACATTAGAATGTAATCTAGATTGAAGAAAATCCTTTTTAACATTATTATAATAAAGTATGTATGTTTTTTTAGATAAACTTACATTTGTTAAAATGAGGATTGTCTCTTTAGATAGCATTGAATCATGTGCTCAATGACTTTATCTTGGACTAAAGCCTTGATTTTGCCTTAAATGTATAGGTTGATAAATTGTGATTGGTATTATATTATGTATTAAATATGTCAAAAGTATGATTAACTGAACATCACTAATCTGTACTATAATGATTCTTACTTTTCATGAACCCTTCTTTCCTTGAAGAGCTTGCAACGTGCTTTTGATCAATGTTTGGCTAGATGATGACAATAAAAGTTTAATTAATTAAATCTAATTAATTAAAAATTAGCATCATCGGAAAGGAACTTTTTACGTAAATCAAGTAGTGCAATCATATTGGACCATTATTCCTCGGTAATTTTTTGATTCATCTTTCAGAGTTTTTTCACATTTACTGCAGTTCATTAGCGATGTCCGCTGATTTTGTTACTAAAGTTTCCACTTGTGAGGCTAATACAAAAAAATTAAACCTTTTCCATTTAATAGAAAATTATTGAAAACCCTTTTTTTTTTACCAGAGAAGGAAGTCGACTGATTAGTCCTGCAATGCGTTTCCTTGATTCTATCTGGTTAGTTAGATTCATTAAGTGTGTTAAACTGTTCTATTTCTTCCGTCGACAACGAAGAATGTGAAAAATAATTGTTGTCAATATCAACTGATTTTCCGATTTTTTCTTAAACAAAGAATGCATTGAAATAGGTTCATATGACTCAGATATGGAGAAATATGTAGATTTTATAAAGCGCTTTTAACTTTCTTCGTTAGGTAAAATTGGAACCATGGAAGAAACAAGTCGTCTTTCCAATGGAGGCCTTAATGAGGTTGAACTAACACCATGTCTAGCACTTATCATCAATCATTGATATGTACTAGTCATAACATTCAAAAGATATTTATAAATTTTATTAGAAACATTAGCAGAATCAATAAGTTCTTGAACAGATTTATATTTTAATCTATGATCTCCAGATTTAATAACTGGTGGGTTTTGAAGAACTGAATGACTTCCAAACATAAAAGTATCAAATGATCGTTGAAATTGACCTCGATCTTTTTTGGCGGCAGTAGTGATTATATCAGCTTCATCGATTTGTTTTGAATAATTATTATTCCATCGATTTGGATAAGATTTTGATGGTAATGTAAGTCTCTTTTTTTTGAGGGTTATCATCCGTATCTTTTTCTAATTCATCATTTGAAGCTTTTTTCCAATTACTGTTTTTTCTTTGTTGCCATTTTGGTATTCTCTTATGATAATGTTTACGGATAAAAGCTTTCTTTGGTTGAGGAAAATCATTCATTCTTTCTTCCGCAGCTTGATCTGTAAGTTGCACTCTTTTTCTTTAATGGCAACTGGATAACATAAGGTTCCAGTTCCAGTTCCAGTTCATTCATCAATAACTGACAGTGCATACCTATGAAATAAAGTGAAAGAAAGAGAGAGTAAGTAATGCAAAGTGTTTTTTTTTTGCTTTAAAGGGAAGATGAATTTATATTATTAATAACAAACTATTAAGCTATAAGCTTTTTTAGTCAGACTCTTATTTACAAAATATCTTATGTAATTTATAATTTCATCACTTTTTATAAATTAGAATAAAAATTGACCACGTTAAAGAAAAGGATCATTGATTTATTAAGTTAATGTCCAATATTTACAGGAATATATACAAAAATCAAAACACTCAGAATAAACTTATCTACGAATAATCTACCCAAAGAAAACAAAAAAATTAAAACATAAAAATAACTGAATTAAACTGGAAAATATAATAGTACTTGTTCACTACTAGGATATACTAGTACCCAGGTTACACGACAGGATGTCAGTACTAATCGCAACCCAAAAAATGAAGCTCTCATCTACCAAGTAAAGTTCCTCTATCTAAACTCAACGATGCAAGGAGAGAGTGCTTTTGACAGGGTTGGAAATTTTGTATGTACTAGATTATAATGTACTAACTATACTAACGTACTAATCATTGTACTAATATTGTACTTTCCAACCCTGCCTTTAGTTACTATTTAATTTTTATTTTTATTTTTTTATTTTTATTTTTATTTTTATTTTTTTTTATTTTTTTATTTTTTAAATTTTTTATTTTTTTTTTTATATTCGTTAGCCCCAAGATATTCCTTCTTGAGCGATTTGTTTACCCAGTTCTGTCACTTTCTGGGCAGTTTTGATATCCAATTATCCATTCTGGAAGTTTGATGATCAGTTTGTTCTGGTTGAAGCTCTTCGATCATAAAAGGAAGATACATAACCAATTTTTCATCCAGAACCAGTAGACCTTTTACATGCTGTTTTTCAAAGAACTTCAGCGAAAAAAAAGTTTATATAAAATAAAAAGTTTGTTTTTTATTCATGTGTGCGTAGAGAGTGGGATACAAAAACAGAATGTGTCTTGCAAAAAACTGGAGAAGAGGGGAGAGAAGAAAGAGAGAAGAGAGAAGAGAGAACAAAAACAGAAAAAGGATAAGAATTTATTTATTTTTTTCTCCATTACAGGTTGGTTATTTACTAAATTTAGAAATGTATCACAAAAAATAATTTATGTACTTGCAGAACTTTTTTTTTATGGTAAAAGACACGTTTTTCGTATTTTTTTTTTTTTTTAGCGAATAATATTTATTAATCAATTTATTTTATTTAATATTAACTTTTATTTTTTTAAAAATATACTGTACATAATATTTTATATATATGTTGTGCATCCTAAATTACCAGCCCATTTTTATAATATCTGGGCAGCATTACTGATGATTATCTTTATTATTTCTATATTTAGTATCCCGTTGGCATCTGAAGCAAATCGACATTTGAGGCACAACATATATATACAAATGATATAAGACTATTAACTTATTAAATATTAGTATACAGGCTTATTTTATTTATAAAATTTATAATGTAAAATTCATAATTTTATAAATTTTTTTGTACTTATTAATTGACAAATAAATTTTATTATATTAAAATATTAATATAGACTGCTTTAACCTAATCAGGTATATTTAAAATTAAATAATAACTTGTCTTAATAGTAATTTTTACCATTCTCTTATATCATTACAATTAACTTCTGTTTAGATTTGAATACAGATTTTCTTTTTTTGAATCTAGTTATCCAAATGGTTTCACAAATTCTCTATCATATTAAAATCAGAACTTTGTATCACCTAACCTAAAATCAGAATATTATATGTTCTTATTATACATGAAGTCAAAATAGATCATTTCGGATATCCGAAATGGTTGAAATGGTTGAAATCATTTCGACCATTGAAGGCTAAAGTCGCGAAATAGTCGAAATGACGTCATATCACATGATTTT